CTCAAAACTAGACACATGTATTGAACCACAAGTATACAAAGAAAGCATTATTTGGTCATGATGTCAAAAGACAGAGCCAAGGAAGTCCCAAAATGTGCACATTTCTAGTTTAGAGCATGGCCAAAAGATGCTAAGATGATGGACTAAAATAGCATGCAACATTGGCTAGTAAGTATAAGTTACAACGTGGCATGTATATGAAGCAAATGAGAACTCGACGGACCAGCCAAAAACAGTGAATAAAACATGTTGAAATATGCCCAAATAACCACTGAAATGCAACCAATGCATGCAAAAATGATGAGCTCCTTTAGAGGGCCATACAAGGGGTTATTAAGCACATACAAGATAGACATGTAACATGGAAAAACCACCTTTTGAAATGAGTTATGACAGCCCTAAAACTCACAAAATTGACCCTGAAATCAGTCAAGGAAGCATACGATGAAAGGCCCCCTCAAAAGGCCTTGAATGGAATTGTTCTACACATGCACTATAGACATAAAATATGATCAAAAGGACCCTGGACAGGCCTAAGGCAGACCTTAAAACCCACAAAATTGGACCTAAAAAGTGACTTCAATGCATGCAAAATAGAGCCCCTTTGGAAAGCCAATGATGCTAGTAAAGAAAATGAGGGGTGAGAGGGTCACCCCTCTATGATTTCAAAGCTCAAAACCTCATCAAAGCCACTGAAAATCCCCTGGATTTCAGTGGCTAAGAGGCCAAAACAAGTCCAATGCAAATGCTCTAATGCATAGCCCTAAATATGAAGGAATGAAGCATGCAAGGAAGGAGATGACTCCAAACAGAAAAATGACCTCAAGAAAACTTAAAGAGGAGGTCAAAACAAGGTTTTTTTCAGTTTATAACAAATCTCGAAAATGTTCACAATTAAGGCTAAAGTATGATGCAAACATAGCCCTAAAAGAGAGATAGAGGGTAAGGGGAAGTAGATGACCTCAAACAGCAAAGTGCCCTTAAACAAAGTTAAAGAGGAGCTCAAAATATGACACTTTCTAGTTTATGAAAAATCCCAGAAATACTTTCAAGTGAAGCTAAG